CCCACACCCTCCCCCGCCGGTGTCGCTGTTTGAGGCCAGAGTTAAACTCAGAGTTTCTTCCAGGCATCTCTTCGGGGGGGGGGGGGGGAGACCCCCCGAAATTTTTTTACCGCCCCCCGAACGAAAATAAATTTATATAATTTATATAGAAAATATATACTTTTAACAGAGTCGTCCCCCCCCCCCCCGAAGAAAGTCTACCGCCCCCCGAAAATTTCAAGTGCCCCCCCGGAGAAAAAAGTCTGGAAGAAACACTGGTTAAACTAGGGTCTGTGTTATGTTTAGGTCCGGGTTAGGGTAGAAATCCTAGAAAAAATACAGCACTATATGTCCTGCTGAGATTTAAAGAAATAAGTAAGGTTCTGACTCCAGCTATGAGTGTACTTCCAGGCTAAGCCCCCCCCCCCCCCATCCAACAGGTCCGTGTGTTGCAGGCTGAGAACCTGTGCTGTGATGCCTGCCCGGGGGATGGTGGGGGGGGGGATGCATGTCAAGTATTTAGGTCGCACATGCTATGTGACCTTGACAACTTGAGCCGCTGAAATCAAACCAACCAATCAATAAGCTTCGCTTGAATGGCGGCCTGACGAAATCGTTACCGTCACCAGATCGAGGCCGACATTGAAGTTGGCCGCGCGGCCTGCACGATTTTGCCTGGTTGATTTAGTGGTAGTTGAAGAAGAAAAAAAAAATAAACGAAACAGGGGGTAGCAAACGTGCGGGACGTCTATTTTCGCGAAACTTTATATCCGGTTGACGTGTAATTTAGGATTTAAACCTTCGAATCTCCACTCCCATATTTTTAAAAAAACCTATATTCCATTGATCTATTATGGACAAGCAGTAATTTTTTTCTCTCCAGTTTCGAATTTACCAATTAACTAAACTATAGCCTAGAAGGTTTGGGGTCGCACTTTCCTTCCCCGTCTCGCCCCCCTTCCCCACCCACCCAGCATTAAAAAATAGAACAAAGAAATAGGTGTGCATTTCTAAAATATAAGATTTCAAGGAAAAAAACAAACACACACTGCAATATATTTTCAAAAGACATTTCTCCTTGAAATTGAACACCTGAACTTAATTATCCCCTTGGATTGTGTTGGTATCAATCATACAATCCTAGACACAATCAGGATAATCCTTCTGTGTCTGATTTCTTATGTTTGGCTATAGAGTTGGTCGGAATGTAATACATCAATCTAAAATGTGAACACTTTGATTACAATGAAGGACGAATGATGGCACTACGGTATAGCAGTCCAAAGGTGTCTTGGGCACAAAAGGGATAAGATGATAAAGTAACATAATAGCTTTAACCCAGTGTGCCATATGTTAGCTTGTTGAATCTGGGACTACTGAACACATGGGGACAATACTATACAACACATCAGTGTAGACGTGACTTTATGTTGTAGACGTGACTTTATGTTGTACATGACTTTATGTGTACATGACTTTATGTGTACATGACTTTGTTGTAGACATGACTGTATGTTGTAGACATGACTTTATGTTGTAGACGTGACTTTATGTAGACATGACTTTATGTTGTACATGACTTTATGTAGACATGACTTTATGTTGTTGACATGACTTTATGTTGTAGACATGACTTTATGTTGTTGACGTGACTTTATGTTGTAGACGTGACTTTATGTAGACATGACTTTATGTTGTACATGACTTTATGTAGACATGACTTTATGTAGACATGACTTTATGTTGTACATGACTTTATGTGTACATGACTTTATGTGTACATGACTTTATGTTGTAGACATGACTTTATGTTGTAGACATGACTTTATGTTGTTGACATGACTTTATGTAGACATGACTTTATGTTGTACATGACTTTATGTAGACATGACTTTATGTTGTATATGACTTTGTTGTAGACATGACTGTATGTTGTAGACATGACTTTATGTTGTTGACATGACTTTATGCTGTAGACGTGACTTTATGTAGACATGACTGTATGTTGTAGACATGACTGTATGTTGTAGACATGACTTTATGTTGTAGACATGACTTTATGTTGTAGACATGACTGTATGTTGTAGACATGACTTTATGTTGTACACATGACTTTATGTTGTACACATGACTTTATGTTGTACAGGACTTTATGTTGTAGACATGACTTTATGTTGTAGACATGACTTTATGTTGTAGACATGACTTTTTGTTGTAGACATGACTTTATGTTGTGCATGACTTTATGTTGTAGACATGACTGTATGTTGTAGACATGACTGTATGTTGTAAACATGACTTTATGTTGTAAACATGACTTTATGTTGTAGAAATGACTTTATGTTGCAGACATGACTTTATGTTGTAGACATGACTTTATGTAGTAGACATGACTGTATGTTGTAGACATGACTGTATGTTGTAGACATGACTTTATGTGTACATGACTTTGTTGTAGGCATGACTTTATGTTGTAGACATGACTTTTTGTTGTAGCCATGACTTTTTGTACACATGACTGTATGTTGTACACATTACTGTATGACAGACATGATTTAAGCTGTAGACACGACAGTATTTTGCAATCATGACTTATGCAGCATGCATGACTGCATGTTCTTCACGAAAATGACAAATTCTTTACCACAGTTCTCATATTTCTGTCAATACTCGTGACGTCAACAGTTAAAACATAGCACTCCTAGAGTAATTAAAACCAGCTGATTGACAAAACATAAAGCGCCGACACGGTTCGGTAAAACAAAAACCTACCTACTTACCCAGTCAAGTATGACCAGGCCTAGGGTGTCATCGATCTGATTTTGTGTATGGTAACTTGACTCTCTTGCCCACTACACAGACACAATCCTACAACCATACAACATAACATTAGGTCTTGTACATGATCTCAGTTCATACACCTACACAAGCACAAACATACGATCATATAACATAACATTATGTCTGATACATAAACTCAGTTCATACACCTACACAGACACAATCCTACTACCATATAACATAACATGAGGTATTGTACATATTCTCAGTTCATACACCTACACAGACACAATCCTACGACTATACAACATAAGGTCTTGTACATTATCCCAGTTCATACACCTACACAAGCACACACATAAGACAATTTAACATACGGTCTTGTACATAAACTCAGTTCATACACCTACAAAGTCACAATCTTACAACCATATAACATAACATTAGGTATTGTACATAATCCCAGTTCATACACCTACACAGTCACAATCCTATGACCATATAACATAACCTTATTCACACACCCACTCATAGCTTTTTACTACCACCCACAAATCAGCTACCGAATATCATACCCTTATTACTGCACACTTTTTAGCCGCATCATTAATCTCATCATTAAAGGAATCTCTTCTTCGTTTATAATTTTAATGTTGGGATTTCCTCAAGTATTACGTGTCATGTAGACCGTTGACTCCGGTTTCAGCCTGCTTTTCTTTCTGGATTTGCTTCTATAGCCTTTGACATACAAGGCAGCAGTTGTTTAATTTTGGCACTGTCTTTCCTAGATGTGTTGCTCTCCCTGGATAACGAGCCTTCTTTCGTTTAGCAAACATGAGTTACCGACCCCACCAGGTCGACCCCTTACTACGAGAATAGTATCACTATGTTTGGCACAATCCTCACCACATCAGCATACACCATTGCTAAAGCATGCATCACTTCTTCTTCTTCTTCGTTCTTAATTTTTAGTGTTGGGAGGGATCGAGCCTTATCTGACTCCGATTTCAGCCTGCTTTTCTTTTTGGATTTGCTTCCATAGCCTTTGTCCAACCAAGAACAAACTACAAGGCAGCAGTTGTTTGATTTTGGAGTGGCTGTCCCCAGCTATCGAGCCTTATCTGCCCGAGGGTTAGAACTCGAGACTTTTCGGTTTAGCAACCATGAGCTTTACCGACTCGACCACGTCGACCCCCTATGAATCACTTAAAAAAAAACATTTTATTAAAATATACCTTATTAATTTGTTTAAATTATACCCGTATTAATTTATGATATACCAGGAATATTAATAAGTGTATACGCGTATAATAGATCTATATAAAGTTCATCGATATTAAATTAGACGTACTTAACATACATCAAGTATAAGTTAGACTGTTAGACCTAGATCTATATCACTTACATCGAGCTTTAATTATACGGGTATAATCCTACATTATAAGTATTACAAGATTTAAAAACCCGTTTTGTTAATAGTGTAATGCCTGAACTTTAAACGCGACAAACAACATTATATTGAACACTGACTGTTGTTACCATTGTGTTGAAAAGACTTGTTTTGTTTTTCCAAAAAAAAAAAAAAAAACTCGACATGCTTGGCTGAACTGCTAGTCTAGGAGCAGACGACACGCTTCCATTGTTCAAGCTAGGTCGGCTGCGCCCTGTATATTTAATTTTCTTACAATTGTAATTAAGCCCCACGTGTCACGTAATTACAAGGAGGTTCTGCTACAATCGATAGATCTCGCGTTGACAAGAATCGTGCGAACACTGTACCGCAGTAGACCCATAGCCTCAAACTTTCAGATAAGCAGTAGCGTAACTATCAAGTGGAATAAAAAAAACATATCTTCACAGTGGATTATCTCTCGTCTGGTTTTTTTTTAAAACGTGTTTTCATAGTTTAGGTAGGAAATCTTTTCAGATTAGATGTTCTTAAAAATATTCTTTACAGTATACAAAGTAAATGTCAAATGACATGTTTTTATAAAATGTATTCCTCAGTTTGCATTGTAAACGTTGACAGATTAGATGTGTTTTAAAATGTATTTTTTGTAGCTTACATTGTAATGACACATTTGATGTTTTTAAAAATTTATTCTTCTTATTCAATGTCAAATTTTTACATCGTAGGCCTATATGTTGACAGATAAGATGCTTTTTAAACTGTATTTTTTCATAGTTTACAAAGCAGTTATTGGCGGATAAGATTTTTAACACTTTTGTTCATTCCAAAGGTTTTAGTGACGACGAAAGCTGAACTCAAAGGGTGAAAGTTTACCAAGATAACGCAGTGTAGGATTTTACTGTGCAAGTTGTCATAAACGAATTTATATGCCACTCTACTAAAAAAAACAACAATGACTAGTTGGAAGACTGTGACTACTTTGTTGTTGTCACTAGCAGTGTGTGTGATAACTGCAGCCGTCGACGTGTCTATACTCGACCCGGAAACACTTTCCGACGCCATCGGCAACACCGCGGATAAGGACAGCAACATCACCTACGCACCTCTAGACGATGACATCACATACAAGGCCGAGGCTGGAACTGACCTAGGGGCTATTGGGGTCTTCTACGACCTGGCGCAGAGCATTGTGGACACGTCATTGCCCGGACCTTTTCCTTTCGGTGAGTCAACAGTTTTTTTTTTTATTAATGAAAAGACAAAACTGGATTCGTCATTGCCTAGTTTTGGATCTAGCAACACGCAAATATATATATATATATATATATATATATATATATATATATATATATATATATATATATATATATATATATATATATATATATATATATATATATATATATATATATATATATATATCTTTCTATGACATATTAACTGAACACAGTTTAAGATGAGCTACCAATCGCCCCCTCCATCCAACCTCACATATAAATAAAATTTTGTAAGAGAAAATAACATATTAAGTGGAATAGTCAAATCCACCCCTCCCTAACCCTAACCAATGGTCATGGCGATATATAACATTTTCTTTATACTCTAAATATTGAATTGCAATCTCATTCTACAGACATTGTACAGGTTTTTTTACGAAACAATTATCGAATACATTACAATAATCGATTACTGTCCCCTAACCTCACCACAACCCCGATGCAATGTAATGAATACAAGCAGATAATCCTTAACATGTAGTCTACTTGCAGTTTTTTTTTAAAAAAAATTATCTATAACGTGTATTCATCTTATAAACAGAGACGTAGCGACCCTTCCCGGCGCCCGGGGACAAACTTTTCGATTTGCACCCCCCCTCAACATTTCGATTTGAAGCCCCCCCCCCCCCCAACATTTCGATTTGCACCCCCCCCCCTCAAACTTTCGATTTGCACCCCCCTCATATGTCTCTCTCTTCCCCCCCCCCCCCCCCCCCGCTACGCTACTGCTTATAAACAATTGAACTACAAAAAATATTGCAAAACACGTGGAAGTATTCTCTAATTGTAATCTATAAATCAAACGATAATACAATTTTAAGAACGTTCTGAATATTTTTACAAAAGGTGGGGGGTAGGTGGGGGGGGGGGCTGTGTGTCGGAGGGTCAGCTGATCCCTTTTGACCCCCACCTGCAGTTAAACGCCCATGCGCAATGCGCACCTCTTGCAGTAGAGAAATAATAAAATACGATTAAATCAAGCGAACGTCACGTTTCCCTCCTAGCAAGCATTGCGTGGGGCGGTGCCACGTGACCATTCCAACCAATAAAACAAGTCCTTGCACGTCGACTTCCGGGAACCAGCGGCCGAAAACAAAACATAGCCTTATCAGTCCAAGCTGTTATGGATTTATTTACGACATTGAATCGATAGCAGGGGGATCAAGCCACAAACCGCTGAATTGTCACTATGCACAACAAACTTAAATTGTTTTTTAATCGCTGAGAGTTATGTCTGTACTAATCTTATCTGTTCAATGTATGATTTATTAGCCGTCCGGGGTCGGGATTGTGGTTTCGTTTTCAAGACTGAACACGATTGGTTCTACCAATCATTTGGTCTATTTTCCTGGAAAGTCTGGCTTGGAGGTTTTGATTGAATTGGTTGAACAATTAAAACAGGAGGGACCAAAATTGACAATGGGGCGGGGAGTGTTGAGGTGGGGGCAAAGGCGTAGCGACCCTTTCCGGCGCCCGGGGACAAACTTTCAATTTGGCGCCCCCCCCCCTACAAACTATAATGCAAAAATGCAGCTTTGTTTTTCCAACCCATTTTGACGCCCCCTAATGGTTGGCGCCCTCTAAGGTCGACGCCCGGGGACATGTTCCCCCGCCCCCCCCCCCCCCCTTCGCTACGCCTCTGGGTAGGGGGTATGGCTAAAGGTAGTTTAATGCAAATCAATATATCAATTTTTTTGGGTCTAATAGTTAGTGGGCGGTAAAGGAAATATTCACAGGTCTCACTCTACTCCACCTGCTTTCTGTTGACAGATTGGGTGGAGAAGATCAAAGATGGGAAGCTGGTTATTGGAACCGATTGGAAAGAGGTAGGCGTTGTGTAGGTGTTTGTGTAGTGTATGTGTAGGCGTTTGTGTAGTGTAGGTGTTTGTGTAGGCGTTTGTGTAGTGTAGGTGCTTGTCAAGGTGTTTGTGTGGGTGTTTGTGTGGGCGTTAGTGTAGGCGTTAGTGTAGGCGTTAGTGTAGGCGTTTGTGTAGGTGTAGGTGCTTGTCAAGGTGTTTGTGTGGGTGTTTGTGTGGGCGTTAGTGTAGGCGTTTGTGTAGGTGTAGGTGCTTGTCATGGTGTGTGGGTGGTATACCCAACTGTATCCAGTCAGACCTGGTCTATCATCTAACTCTATCATCATCAGAAACTGGCCCCCATGTCCACCGGGAAAAATTCCGATGGGCCCCAGGTGAGAAAAATCCCGAATTTCGACCCCCCCCCCCCCTCGCCGAATGGTATTTTAATTATAAAAAAAAAACCCTAATTATTCGCGTGAAGTTCCATCAAGCTGAGGATGATCATCAAGCTTTGATGGGGGGAAAAATTGCACAATGAAAATATTTACCTGGGTTTGTGGGCCACTATTAAAATATCCCGGGCCTACTGGACACAGCCAGTCCACCCCCGGGCCACCACCACGCTCAGTATTACCACCACACCACCACTCTTACCACTACCTGCTGTAAAAAAAACCCATCTCTATAGGAAGCAATTACAGTTCAGGGTTGACAGTGCCGATGGCTGTGGTGTGGACCTAAGGCTTCCCTCTAAAGTCTACCCCATGTCCTTATAAGGCTTAGTCCATACATGACGTCACACACCTGTGGGGGGGGGGGGGGGGGGGGGGTGGGGGGGGGGGTGGGGGGACCATGTGCTTTTAAGTGCGGGAGGAGGGGGTATTTTCCATCCAACATTTATCGTGTAATTCTGAATGGTAAAATATATTTAGTTTGAGTGGGGGTGGGGGGAGGATGTCAGTTTTAAATGGCTTTTCTGATGATTTGTAATGGCACGTTACAAAGGTAGGTGGGAACTGGGGAGGGAAGGGAAAAACATTGTGTGACACCCCCCCCCCCTCCCCCTCCCCCCCCCCCCCCGGATCAAGGCCACCCACTTTTCTCTGGACTGAGGCAACCATAAATAAAAATCCTGGTCGATAGCGCCATACGGTCTTCTGATATTGCAGAACTTGCATCGCATGCCTGGTTTATCGTAGGAAATAAGCACTTAATCAAGATGGAGGTACGGAAACAAAAGGGGAGGGGGAGGTATGGCATTACCAGGAACAGGAATGTGTATTACGTTGTGCTGTCATTAATTCATTATGTAACATAATTTTGTTCCCCTTCCCAACATCCTAGTATAATATAATTTAAAATAGATCTAGCCAGCCTCACCCATAAAAATATCATACCAACAGTATCGCTGGTGTTAGAAACTCGATGCCAGCTTGTCATAATTCAGATCTAAAATTGCAACCTTTTCGGCGATACCAAATATTCGATTATAAATCTTGGCCAAAGTCAGTAGAGTAGTAAGCGCAAGAAAGAATAATTAAAAAGTATTGATTGGCAAATTGAATGGCCCGTTCCTTCGAACCGTGCACTTTAGATCGAAGCTACCATTAGTCAAACATTGCCGTGTATTTCCCATTATAGAACAATGAGGACCAGAGCTTCTAAGTGTAGAATTTACACATATTCAGTTTTTTTTTCAAAACAGAGAAAATTTCCCTCGTCCGTCATATATTCTAGACTCTAGTTTTAAATAGCGTTTAGATCTAATTGAAAAAAAAAATCAGAAACATAAAAAATAATTTTAACTCAACTCAGAATGCATCCATTTTATTGTCGTCTGGGTAAATTACAATCAGTGTACAGGCTACGAAATTTCCGGTCCATTTGATCTATTCCTCTGACATGCGCACAAGGCCGGATATAGCGTGTATGGGATAGAGCCATAGCAACGCGTTGTTATTTCGCTTTGAGATTATCGTCGCGTGGCGTAGCTAGGGAAAGGTTTAGCGTGGTGGTCGGACACAAACGCTTCATTGTACGTGTTTAATGGTGTAGCGAGGTATTGTTTTTACTGGAGATATGCATCGCTTTGATTTGCAGGGGCGTAGTTCATGAAACCAATTAACATACAGTGGCTAACTTATGAAACCGATCGACATACAGTGACGTAACTTATGAAACCAGTCAACATTCAGTAACGTAGCTAATGAAACCGATCAACATACATTGACTTAGCTAATGAACATATTGTGTTGTAGAAAATGACAGCATCCCTTAGGTTAGCTTTTCAATCAATTTAGCTAGAGCGATTCCTAGCCGTGACGGCTGCAATACCTATAATATAGTAAACAAATACAACAAGTGCTCTTCTCCACATCTCTTCTTCATTGTCTCAAACCATTTATCTCCTGGCCTTGTAGGATCTATATATTTTTGTTCACAAACACATCTTGTCATGAGTGAGTATTTGTGTTTGTTCATTATCGCATCAAAAATTGTTCCTGTTCGTTAACCTTGTCACGCCTGATTATTTTATTGCTCATTAACGTTACCACGCAAGAATATTTTCTAGTTCATTAACCTTGTCATGCCTAAATAATTTCTTGTTCATTATTCTTGTCAAGCCTGAATACTTTCATGCTAACTATTCTTGTTCATTAACCCTTCTGAATATTTTCTTGTCGATTAACCCTATCACGTCTGAATATTTTCATGTCCATTAACCCTATAGCGTCTGAATATTTTCTTGTTCATTAACCCTTTCATGTCTGAATATTTTCTTGTCGATTAACCCTATCACGTCTGAATATTTTCTTGTCCATTAACTCTTTCACGTCTGAATATTTTCTTGTCCATTAACCGTTTCACGATTGAATATTTTCATGTCCATTAACCATATCACGTCGGAATATTTTCTTGTCGATTAACTCTTTTGTAATATATTGAGCTTTATTTTGAGGGGAACTCACTCTTCTTGTATTAGTCTTATAATGTTTGAGTGATGTCCCTTGTTGCGATTCCTGTTTCCGATGGAGAATAAAACGTGGTGTGCATAGAAAAGGCTTCCTCGCCTGTTGTGTTACCTATCTAAGTACAAATCTACTACATCTTTCATGTCTGAATATTTTCTTGTCCATTAACCCTCTCACGTCTGAATACTTTTTCTTTACGAACACAGCTCGTCACGTCCTACCTTGGTTACGTCATCGCCGTGGCCATCGGTCTGCTGTTTTTCATCATCTTCCCCATCGTCGGCTTCTGCTTCTGCTGCTGTCGGTGTTGTGGAAATTGTGGCGGGAAACGCGTCATCAAAGCCCCCGAGGAGGGCGGCTACGGCAGACAATGTTGTCGTGTGGCGACCATGATTATTTTGGCTGTTGTTGTCGGATTCGCTGTGTAAGTTTAGGCCTTTCGCATTTTAATAAAAATATTTTCTTTAATTTTTTTTCTCTAAAGGGCACATACGAAAAGCGAATTACGAAACGCAAAGCATTTAACTGCAGATGTATGCAGTTAACTGACATTTAATATGTCATATATATATATATATATATATATATATATATATATATATATATATATATATATATATATATACAATATAGGAAATAAAATACGCAAAACTACGTATTATTGTTTCATTTTTTGTCAGTTTATTTAAAACCGCCAGGAGATATTTTGCATTTAGATTTCTCACCAACTCACCAACCAAAACAAAGACGACGCATACTACCGATAGATGGACCTGTATCAATGAGTTATCATTTAGACTTTAGACTAAGAATAAGCAAGACATATTCCTGTGTTTTACGCCTCACCCCCCCCCCCCCACACCCCTCAGGTAAAATACCGAACCGAATTTACGAGACGATTTTCATTAACAGATGAATTCTAGAAAATTAACTGGGGAGACCGTGAAGATATTCAGCGATGTTGGGCTAACGAGTTATATAATCCTACAATCTATTGACGTGTTTGAGAACTAAGAAAAAGTTAGGCAGGGTTAAGATATCGGTTAGGGTGAGGGGAGGGTTAAGGGTAGAGCCAATTATAAGGATAAGAGTTTAAGACCAGTGGCGTATGTATCTATGCTGTCATGTCATCTTGCTATGTCAGCATGCTATAATGTCATCTTTTTATGTATGCTAGCTATGTCATCTTTCTATGTCAGTGTGCTATATTGTCATCTTTCTATGTCTGCATGGTATGTCATCTTTCTATGTCTGTATGCTATAATGTCATCTTTCAATGTCTGTATGCTTTAATGTCATCTTTCTATATATGTATACTATAATGTCATCTTTCTATATATGTATACTATAATGTCATCTCTCTATGTCTGTATGCTTCAATGTCATCTTTCCATGTCAGCATACTATCATGTCATCTCCTCATGTCATTTCATGTCATGTGATCTCATGTCATCATGTGATCTCATGTCATTATGTCGTGTCATCACCAGAGTTGGCAGTGCCCTGATGTTCGTCACCAACCAAAACCTTTCAAACTCCATCAAAGATTTCGGCGACAAAGACGTGGATAAATTGGATGACATCACCTCGTTCTTTGACGCCACCATTCATGTAATTTGGGGTTTAATTGCCTTAAGCTTTAGCCATTAAAAACACAAATGCTGTATGTTATGTTTTGTTTTCATCTATACCAAACTCATTCAAAGGCATATTGTAATTAAACTATAAAATTAGCTTTATGGTAAAAAAAAAACAGCTCAGCTTAGTAATTTCTGTATATAACGTTAACATTGTGTGCTTTTTATAGATTTTGCTCTATTTTTACTAAATAATATAGTATATTTTGTATTTATAACACGGCTTCAACCCCCCCCCCCCCCATTCTATGTAACTAACGTTTCCTCTTTGATCCTTCCAAACCTGTCCAGCAAGCCAACAAACTGGTCAACAACTCATTTAACTTCACCGTGGATGTTTTGTTTCGTGACCTGGACAGTAAGTAAAAAAACTTGTCTTTGTTTTTAAATTACCGCGGCATGTCAGGGCTATTTGGTCATAGATGGTAGTCTAAGACCAATGGTATGATGGTTTGCAAAGATATTTTCTTCATTGTATGTTGAGAACTTATCATGTTAGCTACTTATTCTGCGGTAGCTGTGTAAGTCCCCCCCTTTCTTTTTTACGTGCCCAAACTACGATTTTGATCTACTTATAAAGGGGTCAGCGTGGTCGAGTCGGTAAAGCGTCCTGCTCTTGGTTGCTAAACCGAAAAGTCTCGGGCAGATGAGGCTCGATACCTGGGGACAGCCAGTTATCTAGGAGAGACAATTCCAAAATCAAACAACTGCTGCCTGGTATATTGTTCTGAGTTGGACAAAGACTATGGAAGCAAATCCAGAAAGAAAAGCAGGCTGAAATCGGACTCAACGGCCCATATGGCGCATAACAAGACAAGTTGACACGTTATACTTAGTTGTGTTGGAAGGAAGTCCTCCCAACATTAAAAGATAAGAACGAAGAACAAGAAGAAAGAAGATCTGCTTTATTTTTTAAATACATTTTTAAAAATTAAAATCTGAAACACATTGAATATTTAGTTTAGAATGAAATCACTAGTGAATTGCGCATTTGCTTTGATAAAATAACATTGTGTTCGTTTAATGAACGATTGTTGAAAGAACTTAACATGGTTCACCCCTCGCTACAAATTCTTTAGAATTCTAGGTCTCTCCTCAAGTCTCAAGACACTGTCATAACACACAACCCCTATACAACTCAACGTCTCTAATCATATAAAATTCTAGATAAGATAATGAGAGAAAAATGATTGACATATTTGAGATTTTGATTACTGATATCTAAGTTGCTTAACTCACCAGACATCGGTTTTCTGCTGGGCCAGAACATCAAGCGTAGAGTCCTGAGTAACACAGGCCTGGATGGTGTGTACAGTGGTATAGAAGGCATGGACACAGGTCAGAACAACGTATATCCTAGCTGTCTTTAATAACTGTTTCTTTCACGTTGTGGGGACACGTTTTATTTAAGAGTTGGAGCACCCTCTCTCTGTGATGATGTGAAATTTATGAGAGGTGCGTATGTTGGTTGGAGTGCTGTGTGGGTGTGTGTGTACGTCTTACTTTTTGTGTGGCGAGGTAGTGTCGTGTACGGGTGTGTTGACGTGTGTATTGTTGTGAACGAGGGTAACAAGGGAAGCAACTGGTCGAATGACAGCGGGTGTGTTGTGAGCGAGAGGAAGGAGGTGTGTAGGGTGGCAGTCGGAAGTGACGATTAGAACGGGGGGAGAGAGTATGGTGTAAACTTTGTGAATATGAACTGAGAGATAGTTGATTTTAAACCCACGTGATGCACCCTAACCTCGACGGCTTATGGCGATTTGTTTACCTGTGTTGGTACGATAAACGCCCTCACACTCACCCTTCCGGATTAAACTCAAAACATTTTAATACAAAATGTATACTGCAACCATTCTTATAATTGCGCCCCCCCCCCCGCCCTCCTCTTCCCTCAAGCATACATTTAAAGAAAGTTTCTCCTCATAGCAATAACCCTGTCTAATATTACAACATTCATGTCCACATTTGATACCAATATGACTCTAACGTCCCTGACTTTCTTCCAACAGACGCCAAAACATTACGAGATCTGACCCATATCCTGATGATTGAAAAAAACACCACCATCTCCTCCTCGCAAACTTTTATGAGCTTCACAACTCAGCTGCAAGCGGACATCAATTCTATCGCCCTTTTAGACTTTAAGGCTAAATGCCCCAACTACACAATTAATGAAACAAACTTCCATGCTGAAAAAGTGAGTAAATTTGTATTTAAACCACTTGAAATATATTTGTTGTTATGTGTGAAAATAACGTTCTGTAAACGGATTTTTTTTTCGTTGGGATTTAGATAAAAATTTGAAAATTTTAATGTCGTGTGTAAGTTTGCGAGAGTTACCTGTAAAAAAAAAATTTTTTTGGCTAACACTTTCTGTTTTCCCATATTTTTCAATAATGTTTTCCAATCAATAACTTAGTTACCAATCGAGGATCTGAAGTATATTTTCCTAAACAACGTCACGGCTTCTGGCATCACGAAATTAACGACAGAGGTAAATTTGTATGTGGTGTTATCTGTATATTTCACATTACTTTACTTGACACATTGTGTATTATAATGCCAGTGTTTCTTCTTTTTTCTCCGGGGGTGGGGGCACTTGATATTTTCGGAAGGACGGACATTTTCTTTCTCTCTCTCCCCCCCCCCCCCCCCCCCGAAGAGATGCCTGGAAGAAACTCTGTATAATGCTTTTTTATTACATTCCCACCAATGCATGTCAGACATCTATTATAGCTATGATAAATTCAAACTAGAAACAAAATATTGCATGCAGTGAAAAGTAGCTCAAGTTAAACTAAGGACGAGTAACACATCGGGTAACAGCTCAACGAAGTCTCAGAGTAAGAAAAATAAAAGATGTTCATGAATAAGATTACGCCATTATCCGATCTAAAAACAAAAAGTCATTTTAGTAAGTCATCAGCATCTTTTCCCGTTAGCGGCCAGGACACAATGAGGCAGATGAAGTAGAGTTCATCTGTTTATTGACATCTGCGCACAGGGGATAGTGCTATTAGCACTATACCAAGCTACCTTGATTCCCTAACGGGAGTCAGATACTCATCAGAGCTGGGTTGACTCAGGGCGACCTACAGACTTGAGTCCGGGTTACGAACCCTAGATTTTCAGTTTAGTCGTAAACTGTAGTAAGTAATACTTATCAAAGTACCATATGATATAGGTTAGGTTAGATTAGGGTTGCCTGTCGTCCCTCCGCTGATAAGAGCTTTCCAGACGTCTCTGTCCTGGGCTAGTCTCTCCAACTGTCCCCAGGTGTATCCAATCTTCTTGGTGTCTTCTTCCAGGTTACGTCTCCAGGTCTTTCTTGGTCTGCCTCTCCTCCTCCTGCCTTGTGGATTCCAAGTGAGGGCCTGTCTTTTTATGCTGGATACAGGCTTCCTGAGTTTGTGGCCAATCCATTTCCATTTTCTCTGGAGGATCTCTACTTCAACTGGCAGTTGATTTGTCCGTTGCCATAGAACAGGGGTCTCCAAACTACGGCCCGCGGGCCGGATGCGGCCCGCGATGTCCTCTCATCCGGCCCGCGGAGATCTTTTTGTCCACGGAAAACCGTTTGTTGGTGATGGCTGAAGAACTTTGCCCAGAAAAATCAAAGACATGCCTGGAAGAAACTGGCCCCCGAACTGAAATTTAATAGTTAATGCGGCCCTCGGACTGAAAAGTTTGGAGACCCCTGCCATAGAACATCATTTCTAATTTTTTAGGCCAGCGAATTCGCAGGATCTTTCTGAGACATGCGTTTATAAATGATTGTATTTTCTTCTTATTTATAGCAGTTATTCTCCATGTCTCAGCTCCATAGATTAAACCAGGTTTTACTAGTGTGTTGAAGATCCGGATTTTTATTCCAAGGGTTAACTCTCCCGAACCCCAAACATTTTTAGTTGGTTGAAGACTGCTTTTGCCCGTCCTTAATTTTATGTCTGCTTCCGTCTCACCCTGCTTATCAACAATACTTCCAAGGTAGGTGAATATCAACTTCTTCTAGGGCTTCTTCTGCTAATGTTATAGGGTTGCTGTTTGATGCATTGACTTTGAGAACTTTACTTTTCCCTCTGTGGATGTTCAGGCCCAGGCATGTAGAAAAATTAGCAACCCTGTTGGTTTTATCCTGCATAATACGATATAACAGAGTGAAATATATAGAAATTTTCTGAACTCAAAGCTAATGACTTCCTCTTACTTTTAGTCAAAAAACAAGCTGAACGACATCCCAGAGCGAGTGCAAAATGAAACAGAGGGCCCCAGAACTGGTGAGTGATTTTTATTAATCAATAAATCAGATATATATAAGATATAAACTTTTTTTTTTGTTTTAAAACGTAACCAAGCTGTTTATATACGAGTAAGTATATATAAATGTAATACAGTTCCGTTTTCCAACCTGACGGTCCATGGGCAAGTGAAGTAGGCTTCTCCTGTTTCTGTGATCTCGGTATATGAAGAGATAGTGTGGTCAGTGCTAAGCCCAGCCGCCAACGGGAGTTAGGTACCCATCAGAGCTGGGTGGACTCTATGACGTTCTACTGACTTGAACCCGGATTCGAACTCTAAACATTCGGATTAGTAGTAGTCTACCGCTAGGCCACGCCGTCCCGTACGATTATTGTGTAATAATTCAAATGCACATAATACTTTGCTTAACCCTTAGTAATGTATGAGTGAATGAAATTTTGTCAATCAGAATTTTTAAAAATCTCCACTCAGATCTGAGAAAGAATGTGAACGACTACACCGCTGAGATCTCCAAGATCAACACCAAGTTGAATGAGATCCGTGACAACGTAAGTTGTTTTACCATGACATCGCCCTAACAAATGTAAACGCCACACTCTCATTACCACTACAGCACGCTTTTTTTCTACGCTACCTAACATGTAAAATAGTAAAACATTTAATCAAGTTGAAACAACCAAGTAAGGGAAATAACTTAGTATTTAATCTTCAAAATCCGTATTAAAAATGACTCATGAGAAATGAAAGCACAGAAGAAAAAACTTTTTAAATAGATCTAATTAATTGAAAAATGTTATCAACATTTTATATCCTGATTGTCATCTTTGAAATTTTAGATATTAAAAATAAAATAGACATTTATAGAAATTCCGCAAAATGAAAATTTAAAGGAAAAAACCGTATGTTTATTTTACAATCCGTTACAGTTTTTGGGTAAAATAAATTTTGACTCCATCAAAGCCGATGTAAGAGATTATGTCAAGCTAGCTGTACAGTACGATCAGTACAGGTGAGCGTCATGAGAATTTTAAGCTAATTCTGTATTTTTTTTTAAATTTATAGGCCTATGTTTCATATTTAATTATCTTTTTAACGATTTAAAAAAAAATATAGAATAATAAAATTGTTGTGTTTATTTAAATTAAAACCCATTGACTTTCATTGAGAATAGAATATTTGAAGAAGGCCTATGTTTTAAATATATTAAAAATATTATTTAAGGTGTAAAAGAAGACTTATAGATTTATAATCTATTTTAAAATAACGTTTTTATTTAGATCTAGGGGCCTATATTTTTAAATTATTTTCAAAAGTATTGGCTTAATATAAATACGATTATCATTATTGTTATAGCCTGAAGAAGGAGTTTAAAACAAAATAAATTAAAATATTTGACATTTTTTATCCAGAAGTTTCTGTCCTAAATCAAATTTGAACAATCTGATAATAAATGTTTCAGATGGTATGGAGGTCTGGGTTTGGCTGGTGTTGCCCTTCTCATCTCCGTGCTGCTCGGGCTGGGCTTGCTGTTTGGATGTTTGGGAGGAAATGCTCAGGATGATCCCACTGAGAGAAGTTCTTGCTCCAATCATGGAGGCAACTGTCTCACTGCGTAAGTTTTAAACATAAGGTTACATTGGTTAAGTTTCTTTTCTAAACCTTGTGGTCCATGGGGCAAGTGAAGTAGAGTTCACCTGTTTTTGTGACCTCAGCTTATTTAGATATAGTGTGGTCAGCTCTATGCCCAGCAGTCTTTACTTTCCCTAACATGATCTGGGAGGATTCAGGGATATTCTATTGACTTGAACTCAGTTTGGAACTCGAGACTTTCAGAGTTATGTTCATCATCATTGTATAATTTCTATGGATTTGACACACTGTATGTGTCTTGCATGTATGTGTCTTAAATGTGTATGTGTCTTATATGTTGGGTTAGTATTTAAACATATACATGTCTTGCATGCATGTTGTGTTTATGTTTAAACTAAATCTTTCATTTAACATAAAGTCCTGATATTAGAACTCCATTTATGTTTTAGGGCTATTATGCTGACCTTCATATTTGGTTGGCTAATTATGTTAATCACAACAATTCTCTTCGCTGTTGGAGCCCCCACTGACAAATTTGTCTGCTCTTCTCTGAAGGATATTAGTGTTGTTGAAAAGGTATGTAAACCATATTTAAATATGGTTGACAAGGCATGTAAGGTATTTTTAACTCTACAGGGAGAACACAAGGTTCATAAATCCCTGCCTTATTGAGAATTCAGAAACATTACAGGTTCTGAAGCATCCCTTTTGGTCCATCTGTTTCTGCATAGGTGACAACAAAATAGACAGGCACCACATTTTGTAACATCAGAAACATTGAAACACATTGAAATGCTGATAAAATGGAGAAGATGTTAAGTGGAACCAAATTATCATGGTTATATCTGTAAATGTCTCTAAATATAGGTTTATGGACTTTGTGGACTTTGGTTAACCATGTAATCTTTATGATATTAGAATAAGTGTTTATTATAGTTTCACAAGGTAAACATTTTAAAATTATTTAAGGAAAATAAAAATAATTAAGGTATAGTTTACAATAATCATTTGTTTAATAAAGTGTTATTACTTTATATGAATTATATTCAACGTACTGTATGTATAAATAATATTTTCTCCCAGATTATCAATGACTTTAAATTGCTTGGAAGTCCATCAAGTCCAAACAGCTCTTGGTTGGGTGACCAGATCTATCAAGGAAAGAATGTCAACATCAGCATTGCTGATGTCATGAAGTAAGTTCAGTGATGTCATCATGTCATTGTCATATTTTGTTTATTTTATGTGAACTTTATTATACTATATAGTGAGAATTTGACCATTTCTGTCTTAAAACATAGTTAATTTTAATATCTGTATACTCATTTGTATGAAATAAATATGCAACTAACTTGTTGGTATAATTTGAATATCCAAATATTTATTTGATATACATTTTTATGAATATTTTATACCTTTTTATAAATATTATAACATTTGTGTTACACAAATTAACAGTGTTCACATAATTTGTACATTTTGAAAAATAATTCAGGTATGGAGAAGTGTACATTTATTTTTACCTCTTTATAAAATAACTTTTTCCTCCGCTTTTATCATAGTTAGAACAGATTTAATACTTACATATTGCAAATCAAATTTACCAGTGCTTGTAAAAATGATGCAACAGTTTATACGGCTCTAAAAATGAAGGAGGGAAATATTATCAACCTGACTGAGATCACAGATTATGGCAAAGTTAGTCACATTTTAAAATTTAATTTATCAAGAACTCACATTTGTATAACTATAGCTTTAATATTTGCTATAGGGAAATCTCATTGTCAGTACGGAATGGCATAGTTGTATGGTAGTAAGTATGATGGTGTATGGTTAGAGTCTTTAAGCCATACCTGAGTCCAGCTCTAATGAGTACATGACAAAGCTTAGAAAAGTAAATTTTTCATAATTTTCAATATGTATTTTTCCTAATTATTTTTAAATGCTCGTTTTGAAGTTTTTAGTGTTGCTGAATATGTTTTACATAAGCCTTTTACTAATAGTAATAGTTTATGATTTACAATATTTCTAATTATTTAATTAAATATTTGAATGTTACTAAAAGTGTTTTAAAATGATCTTATACATATTAGACCTTTAGTATCAGTAACAAAATAAAGGACTTTAATGTTGGATTTGATGGCATCAATATCACATCAGATGAAATGATGAAATTTATTGATTTCATGGGGGATTTTGACAACCAAATGAATTACAGCCAGTATGATAATGTAGTAAGTATAAATGCAATTTTATATATCAAAGTCATTATTTTTAAAATAACACCAAATTCAAACTTTGAAAAGGTTAGAAATTTTTTAAATTACTTAGAATTGTTATTATTATTTTATTTTAAAATCTTTCACAGCTTTCCTTATCCCCAATAAATACAAGTGAACTGTTCTTGAATCAGCTTACTACCTACATCACTAGTATCTCATCAGGTCCTGATAAAGTGAGTACATTTACAGATTTCATGAGAAAATGTAGTAAACTATAATTAGTATTTTAAAATTAAATCTTGGTGATCAAATGGTTTTGTTCTCAAGAAAACTTTATTTTAAAATGAAAAAATAATTTAACTTTTTTATACACGAAATGTTTCAAGATTTTAAAATCTGTTTAAAATTTTCATGTATCATTTAATTAAAAACATCTATTCTCTAATTAAAAACATCTTTTCTCTAATTAAAAACATCTTTCCCCTAATTAAAAACATCTTTTCTCTAATTAAAAACATCTTTCCCCTAATTAAAAACATCTTTTCTCTAATTAAAAACATCTTTCCCCTAATTAAAAACATATTTTCTCTAATTAGCATCTTTTCTCTAATTAAAAACATCTTTTCTCTAATTAAAAACATCTTTTCTCTAACCATGGTTTGTAGACCAAATTGCAACAAATTCAGGCAAACTTGACATCACATCTTAATGCTGAAGGCTTAGTTTTGAAAAACTCAATTGTAAGTAAAAGTTTGACTACTTTTAACTAATCCAAGTGTATAAAAAACAATTATTTAATCATTACAATGGATCAATAGTATTAAATGAAAATAATTATAACCTATGCGCATAATTTCCTTTAGAACAACATCACAAGCACTCTGGGTAGTGTCAAGGCAACTACACAAACACCTGCTGATAATCCAGTAAGTTCCATTTTCAAAATGATAAATTTGTCAGTGTTAAAGGTAACTTTTTAAAAAGAAATAGCCTACAAACACATTGAAAGAAAAAAGTGTATTTTTATATATTGCTGTAAACCATAAAAAATAAAATGTTTTTAAAAATCAATTGTAACATGTATGGTTATGTAAGAATTATTTTGACTAGTTAAGTTCAACCATTTTGAAATCCAATACCGGGATTTCCTTTTTTTCTGAATGCTCAACTGATTTGCTCTAAATCTCTTCTTTAAATTAAGCTTAAGAAAAGATGTGACACTTTGAAGGCCAACCTAACAAGCGTACAGAACAACTTAGAAACTGCTGCTGGACAAGCCTTCAATGCTGTAAGCCGTTATAGTAAAAAAAAACAATCATAACAATCAGAAATAAATTATAGCTGTACGAATGCAAACAAAGTGTTGTTTTTTACAATCATTATATTTATTAGAATAGAACTAGCACTCTTAATATATTTATTATAAAATTATTGAATAAGAAAAATTATAAATTCTTATACAGCTTCAATTGATTTTTTAAAATAAGCATAAATAAATTTACATTCTTCATTCATGAATTTAAAAAAAAATAATTAATAGATTATTTTATTTGGTTGATATATTATTCATAACTGCTATTTATTTTGAATTTAATTCAAGTCAAAGCAATTTAACTAATAAGCTTTTTATTTTTCAAAATCTCCAGTCTGTGAAAGAATATGAAGCTCGACTGAAGAAAATATTTGACAACTTTGTTCAAGATATTAAAGATAGTGTAAGATCTTTTGTGTTACATGTATCCAGAACATAAGTTAAATACATATTTTATGTGCACTTCATGTAATAATTCACTTATTGTTTCCATATTTCTATTGTATATTAGTTCAATTTTTAAAGTTTTGCACCCTACCATTTTATTTTCAACTGTATATTCATTATTACATGAGTTTAGGAACTAAAATGTGTACTTCAAATTTTACCAATAGATAAACTAATAGTTACTTTTCATTTAATGAAGTTTATATAAAGAATTAACAGCTCTAACTGAAGAATTTTAAATATTTTATTTCATTTTTAGGTTGAAAATGATATTGGCAAATGCAAACCCCTGTGGAATATCTTTAACAGTGTGGTATTATATGGAGTATGTGATTCAACTATTGGTGCATTGGTAAGATGTAGTTTCAAATTTTCAAATAATTATATTGATGAATTGCTAAAAAAAAGATGTTTTTCATCTATTTATCTAATAGTGTATTTAGTACTGAGATATTGTATTGCTTAAATAAAGGTTTGTTTAAAAATTGCAATAATTAACATATCTTTTTTTAAAGCAGAAATATTACATTACATTTCACTTCCTTATTACATTAAATTCTCCAGAAATTTGGATGATTGTATAGATATGATAATAGAATTTAATCAGGTTGATTTAGAGTATGAGTTGAATTTATTCAAATGAAGGTTGCAAAATGTTTGTAAAGTGGTAAATAATTTGGTTATAACATGAAATTTTTGTGTGTTCTTTCTTAAAAGTAAATCAGCCTATATATGTTCAAAAGGATACCTGTTAAAACAATTTTTACACATTTAGGCCTAAATATATCTTATTTTCATTTTCCTACTTATAACAATATTTAAATTAATATTATTTGTACACAAAATTGTATGTTAAAATAAAATTATCTAGTCTAAGCGAAGTTTAATGTAGCCTAATTTTATTTTTATCAGCACAAAAATTATTTTTTTACTTCTCTATAGAATGGCTGGTGGTGTGCCCTTGGTTGGACTGTGTTCTTCCTACTGTTGTCCATTTGTGTATCCAGCAGCATGTCTAAATACTTCTTCAAGATGAGATATGCCAACACTAAAACCTCTGAGTGAGTACAAGATTATTGATTTGTGAGATTTAATTGTAGGCTTATGTGTATGGTGTTTGTTGACTTTGAAATTATCTTAAACTTTGGCTTAATACTCTGTTACCTTTAAAAAAAAATTATTTTACAATAAGTATTTATATTAAAAAAAAACTTTTTATTTATTTTACTAATTCACTGTCATTTACAATTTCTAACAGGCCACCTATTGAGTAAGTAAAATTTAAATTATTTAACAGTATTATTTTTTTAAATAAAAATTAATGCTAATTCATTAACATTATCTTTCCAAATAATTAGTTTTGTAAACAAATGTAAATGGGATAAACTCTAGTGATAGTTAACTAATTAATATAAACATTAAATATGATATTCAATAAAATGGTTTTAAAAATTGCTCATAGATACAACTAAAAATAATACAAAATTTAAAAAAATGCAAGTAAAAGGCTAAAATACAGAAAGTAAAGTATCATTTTGAACCCAAGGAGGAGGTGGAGCAGATTTCACCTGTTTTATTGTTCTTGGCATATAAAGGGATAGCATGGTCATTACTATGCCCAGCCACCTTTACTTTACTCAAAATGAATCAGGTACCCATCTGAGCTGGGGGGACTCAGGGACATTCCACTGACACAAAACCGATATTCAAAATTAAGACTTCCAGATTAGCAGTCACATGCTCTACCATCCAACCATGCCATAAAGGGATAGGGTGTTACTATTGTAGTGCTTGCTTCACACCACATCATCTTCTTAGCTTCAACTTTAAGATGAAAATATAAAAAAAAAATTGCACAAAGATGAGATCAAACTAGAGTATATGCTCATATCTTTTTCCAGATGCAAATAACTTAAAGTCTATTACACTATTAATGTACAATAAAAACAATGGTAGACTTTCATTAGCTTCTCCCCGATCAAACTACTTTGCCGAGCCCAAATACGGCATTGATAAATTAAATAAAATTTTACTTGAAGACGGTGTAACTAGGCTGCCCACACTTTTTACCCTCAAATTATTTATATTATAATTTAAAAAATTAGTTTTAAATTCCTTTATTTCTTTGTACATAAGTTGTTTTTTATTTCCCAGCACTAACGCTTCTGGAAAACAGCGTCATTTCAAGTAAGTCGGCATGAATACACTCATGTCATATAAATACCATTTAACAATTTATTTTTGTCATATTCTATATTTATATTGAAATAGTTTACTAAAAAATCTGTTTATATATTAAATTATCTTAGCTAATTATAATTCATTGCTTAAGATTAATTATAATTGCATTTTAAGAGAACAGATGGGAAAGAGACTTTTGATGTACTTACACCGGGGTAAATTCTCTCTTCAGAAATAAGGTGTTCCACTCAGATCATCCGGCTAAGGACAAGTGGTAAAAGACAAAACTAACAAAGGAAAAAGACAAGGAAAAAGAGACTAGAAGTTCAAGATAATATTTTAAAATTTTTACAGATTTTCAAGGACTTGTGAGGGAATTCTTCAGCTGTGTTTTATAAAAGTTTGTTCTGAAATTCTCGAACTCAACAAGACATTATTTTAAGTGACCTTAATAAATTTAGAAAATTGTTGATTTATTACCAAAATAGAAATTTTTAAAAGTAATAAACATATTTACAGCTGATAAGAATTGTCATTATAAAAAAATGACATAACGTTAGAAATGACATGTAATGTAAACTGTGTTGTTTTGAATCTGTGATAATCTGACCTTTTTTTTTTGCTTCCTGTTATTTTAAGTACATTTAACACTGTGTATAACAGGGTTTATTCTTGATTTGCTGCAAATAGCTTGCCAAAACATGTAGAATGACAGATGATTTACTTAAGGATTAAATTGGTCATTGTTAGTTTAGTTGATGCTTAAGTAGTTTAATAAAAACTAGATCATTTTTAATCTAAAGAGGAATGTTGTTTTTTTTTTTTTAAAAAAGGACTTAGAAACTGTTTTTATTTTGGTGGAGATTTATAATCTGTGTAATAATTAGTAGTTGCCTTTTTTTTGTTAGATATTTACTTTTTATAGTTTAAAATTTGCTTAAAAAACTGAAGTGGGAAAAAAAAAAATTTTGTGAGTAAAAAAATTATTTAAAATAGGTTAAAAAATTAATAATTAGGCTATTAAAGATTTTAGAAATAGAGCTGAATTCATAGTTTACCCCCACTTAAAACAGACTTTAATAAGTAGCTAATTTAAAAACTTTTTTCTTACTTTCATTATTACTTGGTTACCTTTATTTTTTTATTTAAATTTGTTCACATATACATACAAATACATTTCTTGCTGTAAAAAAAATAAACTATATTTTATTTATTTTTATTTTTAAAAATTGAAATGTGTCAAGCTATTACAAGTTATTCTTAATTATTTCTTCAAAGTTTGTCTTATTTTCCTCCATTAGATATCTAAAACATCCTACTTGCAAGAAGTGGTAATATAAGCTAATATAAAATGGAATGAGGGGGAGGGGGGTGTTGATACTATAAAGTTTCACACCAACTTTTCTTTCTCAATGCTACAGAAATGATTTTATTAGTTTGCATATTTAAGTCCATGGCTACAAAAATATGGTTATGTCCCTTGCCTTATCAATTTAACATTTCTAGTCTCTCCTGACTGGTGTGGGAGCATTAGGACTAGTTAGATGGAGGTACACTAAAATTAATTGACTTTTTGTGTGCCCCCTTATTTAATGCAGCTTGATAAAAATAACACAAAATTAGTTTAACATCTTCCAGACTTTTTTCCCCAAGAGGGGGAGCACTTGAAATTTTCGGGGGGATTCTGACTCTGTTAAAATTATAGATTTTCTATATAAATTCCATTTCGTTATAAACTCTTCTTAATTATTGTTTTGTTTTTAGAGGATCTAAGTTAATTTATTAGATATGTTTTCTTTTCTAAATCAGATAAACACTGTTTAGTTAAGATTAGTTGTTTTAGTTTAAAATATTTTGTGAATAGCAAACCTAAGTTATAATTTAAAATTTTTTTTTAAATTGCCTTAGCACTGCTGAATTGTAAAATAAAAGTGTAAACATATGAATTTTACACTGTTTAATGCATTGTTTCAATCATTGCAAAGTCCGTCCAGTAACTGAATGTATAGTTGAATGAAAATATTATTAGTCTGTCTAAACGGTTTTAACCTTAAAGGTTTCTTGGTAATTTGCAGAAAGTAAAAATAATGATTCAATAAGTAGTAATTAATTTGTTTTACAGAATTTTAATAATTGTGATTTGAATTGTAAAAATTAAACATGTATGAATTGTTATTTCCAAATCATTTGAAAAATAACAACACAAATTAAAGATTTTTAAAATATGTGTATATCTAGTGGCAACAATTTCTTACTGAGGCTAAATGGTAAAAGAACAACCTACTTTATATACCATGCCAAAATTGAGGTTTCATTTCGAGAATTTATTTAAAAACATAAAACTTTTTGATTGCCAAAATATTTTTATAATTTCTAACATAATGTCAGTTTTAAATTGATTTTTTCAATGTATTAATATAATCTGTGCATGAACATAGCTTTATTTTGAGTAGATGTATGTTTAAAAATATTTTTCATTATCTTGTACTCTGAGATGTTATTTATTTGGAGGGAAAATTCTAAGCTTTTCAAAATATGTGTATTGACTTGCATTTCATAGTATGATTACTGATTATTACTTTAAGGATATATTAGATATGATGTCTGTAAAACTTGTAATAAAACTTGTTTCTAAATATATAATACCATGTTGGCATTGAAGAACTCACCCATTACAAAATTTATTTTTACCTTTGGAAATATTATGATGGAAAAATTATGAATTTACTTGTTTAAAACTGTTATACATAAAGCTTAGAGAGTGGTTTTAAAAAAAATGTGTTAAAACATGTTTCAGATCTACTTATTAAAAACTTAACAGTCACTGCAAAACAAATGTGAGTTATGTCATTTTTTTTACAAATAAAATCCAACTAGCTAATTTATTCACCTATCTTAAAATTTTTTAAACAGCTTTGAAATATTTTGAAGTATCATTTTGTTCTGTTGTTGATTCCTTATTGAGTCTAAATACTTGTAATGCCTACCTAGGATTAAAAATGTTGAAGGATTTTAACATTTGCAAAACACTTGATTGTGACATTAACTGAAAACTTTTTGTAATATTCAAAATCATTACAGCCTACCCAGATATAGATCTAGATCTAGTACTGAACATTAATCAGTGTTAATGATCTTGTAAATTTTTTCAAACACTATAGGCCTAACAAGATCTTTTTATTTATTTCAATCATTAAATAAACAATAGTTTGCAATGTAATTTAATTAAATCTTAACTTGCTAGTCTCTGTCTAATTCACGGATTCCAAATTATTAATTTATAAAGTAGGAAAATACATCTGTAGTAGTATTTTAATAGAGCATTCAAGTTTAAGTTTAAAGTGTTGTGTGGATTTGAAAAAAAAATTCACAACGAGATTCTATTATTATTAGTTAATATTTAATAAATAATCAAAAAATTCTAATTATGTCTATTATCCAAATTCAATAGATATTTTCCTGAAATCTTATTATATAAATTGCTTGAGTATAAAGTATAAAAGTTTGGTAATCTATCGCTTTAGGTAAGTAAAATCGACTGCGGCTAGTAATGTACAAAAAAGTTACCTCATTGTCAATGCTTTAGTTTAATAGAAGTAGATCTATATTGTGAAATAGTTGTGTCAAATATTATAGATAACTGAATACTAAACCAAAATCAATGGCTAAATATCAATATAGGCCAGCAATCAACTTTAAACAGCAGTGTTTGCGAGCAAGATTTGCTATATACTATATAAACAAAAGCCATTTGTAAAATAGAGTGGCTTCCCCTGAATCTCCCGCTATAAGTCTAACAAAATAAAACTTAAACAAGATGGCTACTATAGTAAATGAACATGGTTGCATCTGATGAAAACATCACTAGTCTTCATTTACTACTGAAAACTGTTAATTCAATTGTTTAAAAACAGGTACATAAATAAAACAAGGACACATTTTTGTATTTTTCAAAACATAAATCCTCATCAAAATATGAAATAATTATTAAAATTTAAGGAGTCACCTGTTTTTCACATCACTAGTCGCGGGCGATTTACGTACCTAAAACGAAAGACTACCAAAAGGTTTAATATATTTAAATCAGGTCGCAACTTCTACGTTTGAGGTGTATTTTACCCTATCAACCAACACCCTTACACATTTTGAGAAAAATGAAGACATTTTTTCTCCTTAAATTTATGTTTAATATATTACATCTTTTTAAATTATAGTTTTAATTCGCTTTTTTTGATGTTGAGAATTCATACTGACGATTTGAAGTGATAGTCGCTAGATCATCAGAGCTAATTTACCTCCCATGTTAACCCAGATAGAAAAAAAAACAAGGGATAATACTGGGATTTCCACAGAGAAAAGAAACAAAAAAGTGATTTAATATTACTATTACAAAAAAAAAACCCACATTTTTTATTTTATTTTATTTAAAAATAAAAATATTTAATTATATTACTTACAAAATGTGTCTATTCTTTTCATTTAAATATTCATTATTTAAATTATGTGGCTTAATAACACAATAGTTTAATTTCATTTTCATTTATTTAATAAACAAGCCACTCATTAGAATCGTTACTTTTGAACATGTCATTGGTCGGACAAAATCTTTATTTTGACCAAAATTAATTAAAAATGATTTGCTTTAAATGGAATGTGGGTCACAACACTTTCTAATGAATACTTTACTATAACATAAGAAGCTACCCACACTTCTCTTTAGAGTATTTAAATAGTTTTCAAAATCATTTATTTTCTCCGTTTTAGTGCAAAAATATTTTAGAGCTTGTTATTAAAGCATTTGTTCATTAAATTAAAATAAAATAGTCTTATGTATTTAAGCAAAGGGGAGTCAAAGAAACTTCCAAATTGCAATGGAATTACGTGATCCTGATTATAATGTGTGTTCATATCCTACCCTTAAGCACGGTTCCCAAAGTTGGTGTTGGAATTTCCCTTCCTCGCTCCTAACTGTAATATCGGAGGGAGTTTCCCATCATAATTAATAATTAAGTGTTACGTGTCAACAAACAGGCAGAGGCGTAGCGACCCTTCCCGGCGCCCGGGGACAAACTTTCGATTTGCACCCCCCCTCCCCCGGTCAAGATTTTGATTTTCACCCCCCCCCCCCTAAAACTTTCAATTTGCACCCCCCCCCCCTCTCAAATTTTCTATTTGAACCCCCTCTCAAGCTTTCAATTTATTTTTCCAACCCATTTTGGCGCCCCTTAAGGTCGGCGCCCGGGGATATATGTCCCCCCGCCCCCCCCCCCCCTCGCTACGCCTCTGCAAACAAAATATCTCATCGTCTTATCCCGTTCGTACCCAAAACACACGGGGTAAATGAAGTAGAGTTCATCTATTTGAATAGCCTCGGCACTCAGAGGAGGGGGGGGGGGGGGGGTTGTGTGGTCGGCACCTAGTCCCAGCCGTCTTTGCTTCCCCAACGATGGTGTCACCCATTTGAATGGTGTCACCGTGAATGCGAACCGCACCCCCGGCCGCACCCGCCGTATGACGTTTTTCGTACATGTGAATATAATGTATGCCAATATATTCACGATAAAAGTAAACAATTTCTCCGAACCGAATACCTCAAGGACACATCCTCAGAGACTAAATATCTTGGACAACTTAGGGAAATTTTTAAGTGTAGGTTTAGATAGTAATTGTATACATAAATAAATAAATATGTATATATATATATATATATATATATATATATATATATATATATATATATATGTATATATATATATTGTGTGTGTGTGTGTGAGTGTGTATAACGGACTATCCAAAGTCACCGTGCCAGAAGGAAGAAAGGGAAGACAAAATGGTCACTGGGATGATGACGTCATGGATTGGGCGGGGCTGCCCGTCTCAGACCTAAAGTCAAAACGACAGAGTACCGAGATGCACGGTGGAGAATTACAAGGTCTACTATGCAGTGTTTCTTCCAGACTTTTTTCTCCGGTGGGGGGGGGGGGGGGCACTTAAAATTTTCGGGGGGGGGGGGGGGGGGGCGGTAGACTTTCTTCGGGGGGGGGGGGCGGCGGACACTGTTAAAAGTATATATTTTCTATATAAATTATATAAATTTCATCTCGTTCGGGGGTGGGGGGGGGGGCGGTAAAATTTTTGAAGCCCCCCCCCCCCGCCCACCAGAAGAGATGCCTGAAAGAAACTGCTAGTATGGTACCCCAAGGACCGCAATAAGGGTTATGTTTAACGAAAAGGATGTTATAAATCCAGTAGTCGCATCTCACTGATTTTTTCACGTCCAAATTGGGTTTTCCCTTGCAAGTGTTTTAATGTTTTTGTACGATGTTGCATTTGATTAGAATTATGCGCACTTTGTATTAGGGGGGATGTAATAAGTTTGCACATAGAGTAGATGCTGTTTTAAAATACAAGCACGCATGAAGCTTAGTACCGTAAGTTGGTCTTTATTTCTCTTTATTAGTGGTACGATGTCACGTTATTACCTCTTCATTAAAAGCCTGTATGTCAGAAAATTATAATAGAAGTTCATTTTTTAAACAGAAACAATCATACGTCCAATATTCTTTTTTTCACACTAGCCGTTTACAAAGTAAGAAATGTAAATAGAGTATCTAGATATCTATATCTAAATAACTATATTTTAATAAAACATTCAAATTGTAGAAGAAAAAAAAATAGATCTATTTGAGTCTTATGACAAAGGTGACGTGAAGGTATAGCCTCGATGATATATGGCTGTAGCTTATATTATTTCGTATACCAAACCACCTTGGTTTATGTGAATGGTTTAATCATTAATGAGACAGAGAATCTAATAATAAGTAATTAAACCAAAAGTGTATGTCCAAACGAATTTAAGGGGATTTTTATTTCAATTTAAAAAAAAAAAAGAAATTTAGACTTTACTGTCTTATTCTAGCCGTTTTTAGATTTTCCTAGTACAATTTTACTGTTGTATATTTTTATTTCTTTATCATCGCTTGAATGTGTGTGTGTGTGTGGGGGGGGGGGGGGGGGGACATAGGTAGGTTAAATTAAAGCCTAAGAGCGATTTTAAATCAAACTAACATACTATATTTCTTAAAATATTTTGGTCTTGTTTTCAGATAAAGACATTTCCTCAACATAGCAACCGAAACATATGGCATGGATGAAATACATTAGGCCTAGCTGTATGGCTGTTGTTTTCCTCACCCTAATTCTCACTGCGCAAGCGCAAGTTAACGTCAACGTGTTCACCGATCCGATACTGAGGGACGATTACGGGGACATCGCGTACGAGAACGGAACGATACTGTTTGTCGCGGTACGGGACAACCACACGTACAAGGCCAAAGACGCGTCCAATATTCAGGACGAGGGGGCGATAGGACCTTTTTATGAATTAGCCGCCAGCGTTGTGGATACTTCATTGGGGGACGACTTCACTAGCGGTGAGTTACCGGCCTTGGGTACTGTGGGGAATCAGTGTTTCTTCAAGACTTTTTTGTCCAGGGTGGGGAGGGGGGGCAGTGCGGACACTGTTAAAAGTATATATTTTCTATATAAATTCCATTTCGTTCGTGGGGAAGGGGGGTGGGGGTAGACTCTTTGGGGGGGGGGGGGGGGGGAGGGGGGGGGGTTCCCCCTGAAGAGATGCCTGGAAGAAATGCTGATGGGGTTGGGATATTTACATTTTTGAAACCGAATAGCCTTCGTTTTACAGAATTAGCAACCTTGAGTTCTGTTGGTCTACAATCTAGCTTGAGGCCTCACATCCTTAGTTGTTCAGACTTATCGACCCTGTGAGCTTTTTCCAATATAGATGGTACAATGGTACAAATTACAGAGGTGTCTGCAAACGAGACACGAGGCAAGCAGACATAACACATGGGGGAGTAGCAGGTCCAAGACAGAACATTGTGGAGTCATACGGTGTGGAGTCAGACGGTGTGGAGTCAGACAGTGTGGAGTCAGACAGTGTGGAGTCAGACAGTGTGGAGTCAGACAGTGTGGAGTCAGACAGTGTGGAGTCAGACAGTGTGGAGTCAGACAGTGTGGAGTCAGACAGTGTGGAGTCAGACAGTGTGGAGTCAGACAGTGTGGAGTCAGACAGTGTGGAGTCAGACAGTGTGGAGTCAGACAGTGTGGAGTCAGACAGTGTGGAGTCAGACAGTGTGGAGTCAGACAGTGTGGAGTCAGACAGTGTGGATTCAGACAGTGTGGAGTCAGACAGTGTGGACTCAGACAGTGTGGAGTCAGACAGTGTGGAGTCAGACAGTGTGGAGTCAGACAGTGTGGAGTCAGACAGTGTGGAGTCAGACATTGTGGAGTCAGACAGTGTGGAGTCAGACAGTGTGGAGTCAGACAGTGTGGAGTCAGACAGTGTGGAGTCAGACAGTGTGGAGTCAGACAGTGTGGAGTCAGACAGTGTGGAGTCAGACAGTGTGGAGTCAGACAGTGTGGAGTCAGACAGTGTGGAGTCAGACAGTGTGGACTCAGACAGTGTGGAGTCAGACAGTGTAGAGTCAGACAGTGTGGAGTCAGACAGTGTGGAGTCAGACAGTGTGGAGTCAGACACTGTGGAGTCAGACACTGTGGAGTCAGACATTGTGGAGTCAGACAGTGTGGAGTCAGACAGTGTGGAGTCAGACAGTGTGGAGTCAGACAGTGTGGAGTCAGACAGTGTGGAGTCAGACAGTGTGGAGTCAGACAGTGTGGAGTCAGACAGTGTGGAGTCATACAGTGTGGAGTCAGACAGTGTGGAGTCAGACACTGTGGAGTCAGACATTGTGGAGTCAGACAGTGTGGAGTCAGACAGTGTGGAGTCAGACAGTGTGGAGTCAGACAGTGTGGAGTCAGACAGTGTGGAGTCAGACAGTGTGGAGTCAGACATTGTGGAGTCAGACAGTGTGGAGTCAGACAGTGTGGAGTCAGACAGTGTGGAGTCAGACAGTGTGGAGTCAGACAGTGTGGAGTCAGACAGTGTGGAGTCATACAGTGTGGAGTCAGACAGTGTGGAGTCAGACACTGTGGAGTCAGACATTGTGGAGTCAGACATTGTGGAGTCAGACAGTGTGGAGTCAGACAGTGTGGAGTCAGACAGTGTGGAGTCAGACAGTGTGGAGTCAGACAGTGTGGAGTCAGACAGTGTGGAGTCAGACAGTGTGGAGTCATACAGTGTGGAGTCAGACAGTGTGGAGTCAGACACTGTGGAGTCAGACATTGTGGAGTCAGACATTGTGGAGTCAGACAGTGTGGAGTCAGACAGTGTGGAGTCAGACAGTGTGGAGTCAGACAGTGTGGAGTCAGACAGTGTGGAGTCAGACAGTGTGGACTCAGACAGTGTGGAGTCAGACATTGTGGAGTCAGACATTGTGGAGTCAGACACTGTGGAGTCAGACATTGTGGAGTCAGACATTGTGGAGTCAGACAGTGCGGAGTCAGACATTGTGGAGTCAGACTTTGTGGAGTCAGTGTGGAGTCAGACGTTGTGGAGTGAGACAGTGTGGAGTCAGACAGTGTGGAGTCAGACATTGTGGAGTCAGGCATTGTGGAGTCAGACATTGTGGAGTCAGACATTGTGGAGTCAGACATTGTGGACAGGCATCAATGTCGCTGAAGGAGTTAGGACGAGGTTGCCGCTGAGGGGCGAAGAAGAAGAAGCAGAAAACAATCTGCCCAAATGGTACCAACAACATTGGTCTGTGACAGAGTTTGCCACTGTACAACTGGCAAGATCAGCCACAACTGAGCCTGCACCAAAACAAAACAGTCTCTGGCCACAAGATACACAGTCCCAGGAGGCTAAAGGAGCCAAAAAAATTACTCTAGAAACTTTAAATTTTTAAAACAACACACAATCAAGAATACACATATGCTTACAGATGCAAAAAAAAAAAAAAGACACAAAACAATTAATTGGGTTTTGTGTATTAAAAGTTGCATTTATATATTATGCATATTTGTCTGTAGATCTCGTGACGGCAATACGAGCGAAACCGAACTTTTTGCTAGTGTTAATACATGTGAGTTCTTTTTTTTACTTTGGAAATTTTGAACCAGATTCTCAAAACTTTATCAATCTAGAATGTGGAGAATGTCCCATTAACCACACCCATGTCACAGTGAACACACCCACGTCACATTAAACACGCCCACGTCACATTAACCACACCCATGTCACATTAACCACACCCACGTCACATTAACCACACCCATGTCACATTAACCACACCCACGTCACATTAACCACACCCATGTCACATTAACCACACCCATGTCACATTAACCACACCCATGTCACATTAACCACACCTATGTCCCATTAACCACACCCATGTCACATTAACCACACCCATGTCACATTAACCATTTCACTTGAATCACGTGGATATTCGTACTAAAATGTACAGAAATGGCATTGCTTTGATCGATTTCACCCTCAATCCATAATCACACATTGGTTCAAAACAGGACCTCCCCTAATGTCACAAAACAGGACCTCCCCTAATGTCACAAAACAGGACCTCCCCTAATGTCACAAAACAGGACCTTCCCTAATGTCACAAAACAGGACCTCCCCTAATGTCACAAAACAGGTCCTCCCCTAATGTCACAAAACAGGACCTCCCCTAATGTCACAAAACTGGACCTCCCCTAATGTCACAAAACAGGACCTCCCCTAATGTCACAAAACAGGTCCTCCCCTAATGTCACAAAACAGGACCTCCCCTAATGTCACAAAACAGGTCCTCCCCTAATGTCACAAAACAGGACCTCCCCTAATGTCACAAAACTGGACCTCCCCTAATGTCACAAAACAGGACCTCCCCTAATGTCACAAAACAGGACCTCCCCTAATGTCACAAAACAGGACCTCCCCTAATGTCACAAAACAGGTCCTCCCCTAATGTCACAAAACAGGACCTCCCCTAATGTCACAAAACAGGTCCTCCCCTAATGCCACAAAACAGTGTTATAGATTGACGAGGAGCCACATTGGTGTTAACAGCCTTTATTTACAGACGCCATGATGCAAAAAGAGAGAGGAAGTCGGAAGTGGCGAGAGACTATTTATAGATAACAACATGTAAGGGACATCACTCAAGATAACAATATAAATATAATACTAATACAGAAGAGTGAGTTCCCTTGACCTCACAATTATTTCAATCTATCACATCCCTTTACCCTTAGAACACAATAACACATCTCTCAATAGAACAATTGATATTATCCTAAAATCACCAATTATATTGTAACATGAACACTATGGTAGATTACATCCTTACAAACAATGCACAATATGCTACAACATAATCAAGATACAAAACAATGATGTCAAAGTCCTTTTGACCTTTAAAATCATAGGTCTAACTTATTTGGGACTTTGATTGTCCTGCTTGACCTTCTCAGTGGCCTTTGATTTGGTGACTCAATATTCTGACCATCTGGATTCTCTATCTCAGGAGGTCTAGGATTTAAATCATTAACTCCAGAATTTACATTTTCTGACTCCAGACAACTTGGTTTACTCATATCAACAGAACTTGGTTGTTGGACAAACTGAGTTGGTGTGAACTGATCAGATTTGGTGGGATTGACAGATTCACACTTATTATCTGCACAAGTTATTTTTAACTGGTCTGCATGTCTACTGACAATAAGTCCATCATTTGCTTTTACTTTATAAGACACAGGTCCTGTACATTGAACAATTTGACCTGGTATCCATTTTTCCTTTCTCCCATAATTTCTTAGATACACATTATCATTAACTGCAAATTCTCTTTCAATGGATGATTTGTCATGATTTACTTTTTGTGTATGTTGATGTTGGGAAACAGACCTTTGAACAGTTGGATGTAGTAGGTCAAGATGAGTTTTATTTTTCCTACCACATAGCAATTCACATGGTGCAACATCTGTTGTTATATGAGGAGTTGTGCGGTATTTGGCTAATAACCCGTTTACTCTTCCATTGTCACATTTAGCTTCTTCTGTTTGATGTTACCCTTTTAGTTTCTGTAAGTGCTAATGATGTTAGCAAAGTTGTTTGATGATCACATTCCTTCTTACTAATGTATTCTCTTTAAAACATTTGAAATTGCCATATCACCATAATCATTTATTAAGTTACAAATACTTTGTTTAGGCAACTCTGACTGATAATGGACTGCATCTTCTCCATCATTTATATTATCTTCACAAATGGTTTTATTTCTTATTTAATATGGCCTTAAGTCATCATTCACAGACTCTTCAGGCCAACCATTCTTACAGTACTCATATACTTTTATTAAGCACTCATCTTTTTGTGTTTCTCTTTTAATATCATTCACATTTATATTGGAGTTATCCATGATAGTGAAGAGAACAAATACATCTTCTGGTACATAGCTCAGGCTTTGGTTTTTTTAAAGGTAATCTACTAAGACTATCTGCACTATTCTCAGATCCAGGTTTGTATTTCAATTCATAATTGTATGCAGTTAGTGTGATAGCCCATCTTTGAATTCTTGGTGAGGCATGCTCAGGTAGGGTTTTGTTTTCTCCAAATAAACCTAGCAATGGTTTATGATCTGTAAAGATGGTGAACTTCCTACCAAACAGAAACTTATGAAATTTCTTAACACCAAAAATGATGCCTAAGCCTTCCCTATCTAACTGAGAATAATTTTTCTCAGCCTGGTTCAAAGATCTACTGGCAAAAGCAATGGGTCTGTCACCCTTCTCATCCATGTGGGACAAGACTGCTCCTACACCATCTGGTGAAGCATCACATGTTAATATAAGTCTTTTCCCTGGGTCATAGTGAGTTAGTAAGGTGTCAGCAGACAAAGCCTCTTTTGCTGTATTAAAAGCAGCTTCTTGTTGTTTACCCCTGTGCCAAGTTGCATTTTTCTGTAGCAGCTTGTACAGTGGTGATAGTTTACCAGACAGATTTCCTATGAACTTTGCATAGTAATTTATCAAGCCCAAAAAAGCTCTTAGTTGTTGGGTATTTTCAGGTTTGGGTGCTTCTTTAATGGCTTTTGTTTTCTCAGGTTGAGGTCTGATGCCTTGTTTGCTCAATATATAACCAAGAAAACTAATTTCTGTCAACATGAATTGACATTTATCTTTGTTTATCTTTAAACCTTTTTCACCAACAATTTTCAAGACTTTATCAAGTGTTTTAAGATGTTCAGTGTCATTCTTACCAGTTATGTACACATTGTCAAAGTACACACAAACATTTGGAATGTCCTTAAAAATACTGTCCATGACAGCTTGGAAAATTCCAGGGCTAGATGATATGCCAAAACATAGTCTTTCATATTGGTAGAGTCCTTTATGTGTGTTTATTGTCGTATAGACTTTTGAATCTGGATGCAGTTCTAGTTGAGTGTAAGCATGACTAAAGTCTAATTCAGTGAATTTGTCTCCTCCTGCCAAATTCAAAGAGATTTCCTCAATGTTAGGAATAGGGTACCTATTTAGCTCTATTTGCTTATTCAGTGTAGTTTTATAATCTCCACAAATTCTTATAGAACCATCCTTCTTTAACACTGGCACAATGGGTGACGCCCAATCGGAATAGTCTACCTTCTTTATAATGCCATTAGATTCCAATCTACTTAGCTCAATTTCAATTTTGTTCCTCATTGCATAAGGTGGAACTCTAGCTTTGCAGTATCTTGGATTTGTGTCTTTAATGCTTAACTTCACTGTTCTATCATTTAGTAATCCATGATTACCAAAAACACTTTTATTTTCAGATATAACTTTATCTAGTGAAGTAAGACTAGATTCTTTTACATTCTTCAATGAACAAATACTCTCCCAATTTAACTTAAGATTACTTAACCAGTTCCTACCTAGTAATGGCGGTCCATTTCCTTCAACCACAAGAAGAGGAAGTTTAACACTTTGACCATTATAACTTACATGAACCATACACTCTCCTATTACCGGAACATTGTCACCAGTGTATGTTGTTAGACACTTGTGACATGGCTGTAGAGACACTGATCCTCCTGTGACAGCGTCAAAATCTTTCTTTGTTATGACTGTTAGCGATGCTCCAGTGTCAAGTTGGAAGCTGATGCTCTTACCGTTGATATAAACTGGTACATTGATGGGAGCATGACTTATTGATTTCACAGAGAATAGGTTGAAATCCGGCTGCGAATCAGTTTGAGCATTTTCACAGGTAGAGTGGTTCATTGGTTGGGTTAGGTAGTCTTGGTGAGAGTTAACATAATGCTGCCTTTGGTTGCGGTACTGTCTTGACTGGCTAGATTTAGCAACAGACGAAGACTTTGCAAAGCAGGCCTTAGCAATGTGACCTTGCTTACTGCACTTATAACAAGTTGCAGACTTGAACTTGCACCGATGAGATGCATGGGGACCCTTGCATCGATGACATTTTTGATAATTATTACTAGATTTAGATCTAGGATTTGAACGAGCAGGCTGTTTAGCATAAGTTGGAATGCTCTGATGGGGTTGATGTTTATTGACTAACCTGCTGTTTACTGCATGGATCTCTGAAGGTGCTAAAGATCTCGCCGCATCAGATGACTGCTGGAATGAAGTTGCAAGTTGTATTGCTTTTTCTAATGTTAGATCTGACTCGAGCAGCAACTTTCTTTGAATATCAGGACTGTTTACACCTGTCACAAACTTTTCACATAGTCTGTCAGACAGCATGTCTCCGAATTCACAAAATTCACTTAAATGACGTAAAGCAGCAACATATTCTGATATTGACTCGTTTGGTTGACGAGTCCTACTGTCAAATCTAGCTCGACATAGAAACTTTGATGGGGTAGGCGCATGGTGGTCTGTTAGCAATTTGCTCAGCTCGTTAAAGCTCTTGGTATTCAGACTAGCTGGTGCGCATAAGTCTTTTAGTAGCCTAAATTGTTGAGGCCCTATGACTGTTAACAAAACAGCTCTCTTTTTGGCTTCTATCGTCACGTCGTTTGCTTCAAGGTAAAAGCTTAACCTCTCTAGGTAATCTTGAATGATTTCATCATTCGCATCAAATTCTTTCATTTGGCCATACAGCGCCATAATTCTAGAAATAATTAGCTAATAAGCTCTAGCAAACCTCTTTTTTGCTTAAGTAGGTGCTCTTTCTAGTAGATGTTTATCCTTCGTCGCCAAAATGTTATAGATTGACGAGGAGCCACATTGGTGTTAACAGCCTTTATTTACAGACGCCATGATGCAAAAAGAGAGAGGAAGTCGGAAGTGGCGAGAGACTATTTATAGATAACAACATGTAAGGGACATCACTCAAGATAACAATATAAATATAATACTAATACAGAAGAGTGAGTTCCCTTGACCTCACAATTATTTCAATCTATTACAAACAGGACCTCCCCTAATGTCACAAAACAGGTCCTCCCCTAATGTCACAAAACAGGACCTCCCCTAATGTCACAAAACAGGTCCTCCCCTAATGTCACAAAACAGGACCTCCCCTAATTTCACAAAACAGGACCTCCCCTAATGTCACAAAACAGGACCTTCCCTAATGTCACAAAACAGGACCTCCCCTAATGTCACAAAACAGGACCTCCCCTAATGTCACAAAACAGGACCTTCCCTAATGTCACAAAACAGGTCCTCCCCTAATGTCACAAAACAGGACCTCCCAATACTTACGTCACAGATTTCAACTCCCTTCATTTATACAACAAAGTTGAACTTTAAAAAAATTTCAACAAGATTGACTTTATTTGAATTTCATTTCCTCATTGAATGTGCCCCTACCTGTGACTCACGCTCCAGTCAAGCTTGTCATTCGGCTATGTTTTGGCAATACTTGTCGGGTGGTTGTTCCTCATCATCTTTCCGTGTTGCTGTTGCTCGGCTTGCTGTTGCGGATCTAGGAATAGAAATCGAGTCAGGCCTAAGCGAAAAGTCATCTTGGTGTACAAGTACATTTACCTTGCTTTCGTCACGGTTCTAATCGTCTTTCTTTGGTGAGTATTTTAGACATTTACAGTAGTCAGTCAATAGACTCTTCCAAAACTGGGGGTGTTAGGTTGTTGGCAGTAATACACATATAATCTGGGGTTAGGATGGGACTACGGTTTTGAGATATGGTAAATCTAACATTTGTAAGTAAAATTTCTTAATTTTTTTATGTAAGCAGAACGCGTACTTTCACGAAGAGCATTACAAACGCAATATCTGACATCGATATAAAAATTACCCCATATTAATAATATGCAATAATCTCTGAAGCTGCTAAATTAAAATAAAATATAAGGCTATATTTCCAGTAACGCAATTATTTCTGTCTTTGCTAAGTTAATATAAAACATACCACTATATTTTCAGTAGAGCAATCAATTCTCATTTTGTTAGATACAAACATCACAGTTTTTACTTAACTCATTTGCTAATTGTAATGTTAAATTAACGTAATACAGCAACAAGAACTAAAAAATTTGATCTTTAATAGGATCAAACTTAAAATGATTTTTAAAAAAAAAATTAAATTACAATACAAAACGGAAGTTTATTTATAAATTTGGACTCTGTTCACCCAGCGTTGGTATTTTGTTGATGAACTCGACAAGTGACAAATTGTCTCAATCTCTGAGCGTGCACGCTGACGACGTGGACAAAATAGATGACATCCACAGCTACACAGAATCGACATTAAAGGTAAGATAAAATCTCATCTACACTGAATCGACATTAAGGGTAAGATAAAATCTCATCTACACTGAATCGACATTAAGGGTAAGATAAAATCTCATCTACACTGAATCGACATTAAGGGTAAGATAAAATCTCATCTACACTGAATCGACATTTAGACAAAATAGACGAACATCTCATCTACACTGAATCGACATTAAAGGTAAGATAAAATCTCATCTACACTGAATCGATATTAAGGGTAAGATAAAATCTCATCTACACTGAATCGACATTAAAGGTAAGATAAAATCTCATCTACACTGAATCGACATTAAAGGTAAGATAAAATTTCATCTACACTGAATCGACATTAAAGGTAAGATAAAATCTCATCTACACTGAATCGACATTAAAGGTAAGATAAAATCTCATCTACACTGAATCGACATTAAAGGTAAGATAAAATCTCATCTACACTGAATCGACATTAAAGGTAAGATAAAATCTCATCTACACTGAATCGACATTAAGGGTAAGATAAAATCTCATCTACACTGAATCGACATTAAGGGTAAGATAAAATCTCATCTTTAAGGGTAAGATAAAATCTCATCTACACTGAATCGACATTAAAGGTAAGATAAAATCTCATCTACACTGAGTCGACATTAAAGGTAAGATAAAAATCTCATCTACACTGAATCGACATTAAGGGTAAGATAAAATCTCATCTACACTGAATCGACATTAAAGGTAAGATAAAGTAGAGACTCACATCTCATCTACACTGAATCGACATTTAGACAAAATAGACGAACATCTCATTTACACTGAATCGACTTTAAGATAAAATAGAGATTCTTCTCGGCTTCATTGTATCGACATTGAGAGTGAGATAAAAACTAAGTATAAACTAAATATAAACTAAAATCCAACAACTGATTTATCTTTCGAATGAATCAATAATCAATGTCAGTTAAACAAAATGTCGTATTAACAAAAAAACAACAAGTTAATTATATTTTAGGTCCATATAGTTAATACAATTACAATTGTACATAAGAAATATTAAGTGTAATATAACTCATATTAAATATCGTAATAGTTACAAAATTGCAATACATTGGTTACATTTAGATATGACTTCATTTCCTCTAATTTAAAAAAAAAAGTTTTAGTACGGGGTGGAATAAATCTTGCCTAACCACCTCTTGGATCTGCCAAAATATAAGGCCGATTCTAGTCGGAATAAGATACGCATGCGATACGCATGCGCAATGGAGAGAAACTACGACTTAGCGGCGATGTTTTCGATGGTACTGCGCATGCGTGTGTTTACAACCGCAGAACCCTAATACCAACCCTAATCCTATCCTTAACCCTATCCCTAATCCTAACCCTAACCCTAGCCCTAATCCTATCCCTAACCCTAGCCCTAATCCTAATCCTAATCCTATCCCTAACCCTAGCCCTAATCCTAATCCTAATCCTATCCCTAATCCTATCCCTAATCCTACCCCTAACCCTCATTCTAGCCCTAACCCTAGCCATATGCCACTGCGCATGCGCAGAACTATCTTTTGCCGAAAAATCTTATTCCGAGTAGACACTTCGAAAATATAAAAGTTGCCCAAAATATTTAGCTTTTCATCAATACTTCCATTAATTTTCGTGTTATTCATACTGGTGTAGAGCATTCATTTTTCTATTTGTTTTCCATTTGTTTTCATTCATTGTTTTCTTTAAATGTTTCGCTCACCAGCAAGTGAAAGCCTTGACTACGTATAAATATGACTTCACGGTCAAGGTCGTCGTTCGCGATCTAAACAGTGAGTTGACTTTAATAACGTTTCCACCCATAAGGTCAAATTTTGATAATCTCATTGTTACCTCTCTTTTGGCTTTCTGTGGGTTGAATTTTAAGCTCTTTTTAGCTCTCGTTTTTCAGTTCTTCATTAGTTCTGTTTTTGTCCACATGCACGTATGTATCTAAACATGATATCTTAATATTTAATCTTTCTTTTACTTCTTAAATTCATAAAATTAGCTGATGCTTTTTTATTTCCATTTTTTTAAATTAATCATGATATCTTAATATTTAATCTTTCTTTTACTTCTTAAATTCATAAAATTAGCTGATGCTTTTTTATTTACATTTTTTTAATTAAAATAACTAAATAAATCAATAAATAAAATTAAAGATGAAACAAATAAATACTTATATCATGACTTATAACTTTGGTTGTTTGATTAGTAAACTATGTGTTTGCTGTTCCGTTTTCCGTATAAAGATATTGGCTTTCTAATGGGGCCAAAGGTCAAAACGAGGGTGATTGGCGAGACTGGCATCGAGCGTGTATATGCAGATGTGGAGAAATTGAATACAGGTGGGTGCGGGATTAAAGTTGTGTGGGATTTATGTAGGAGCATTAGATACAGGTGTGTGGGCTTTAATTGTGTGGGATTTATGTAGGAGCATTAGATATAGGTGTGTGGGCTTTAATTGTGTGGGATTTATGTAGGAGCATTAGATACAGGTGGGTGTGGGATTTATGTAGGAGCATTAGATATAGGTGTGTGGGATTAAAGTTGTGTGGGATTTATGTAGGAGCATTAGATACAGGTAGGTGTGGGATTAAAGTTGTGTGGGATTTATGTAGGAGCATTAGATACAGGTGGGTGGGTTTTAATTGTGTGGGATTTATGTAGGAGCATTAGATACAGGTGGGTGCGGGATTTATGTAGGAGCATTAGATATAGGTGTGTGGGATTAAAGTTGTGTGGGATTTATGTAGGAGCATTAGATATAGGTGTGTGGGTTTTAATTGTGTGGGATTTATGTAGGAGCATTAGATACAGGTGTGTGGGATTAAAGTTGTGTGGGATTTATGTAGGAGCATTAGATATAGGTGTGTGGGTTTTAATTGTGTGGGATTTATGTAGGAGCATTAGATACAGGTGTGTGGGTTTTAGTTGTGTGGGATTTATGTAGGAGCATTAGATACAGGTGGGTGGGTTTTAATTGTGTGGGATTTATTTAGGAGCATTAGATATAGGTGTGTGGGTTTTAATTGTGTGGGATTTATGTAGGAGCTTTAGATACAGGTGTGTGGGTTTTAATTGTGTGGGATATATGTAGGAGCATTAGATATAGGTGTGTGGGTTTTAATTGTGTGGGATTTATGTAGGAGCATTAGATACAGGTGTGTGGGCTTTAATTGTGTGGGATTTATGTAGGAGCATTAGATATAGGTGTGTGGGTTTTAATTGTGTGGGATTTATGTAGGAGCATTAGATATAGGTGTGTGGGTTTTAATTGTGTGGGATTTATGTAGGAGCATTAGATATAGGTGGGTGTGGAATTAAAGCTGTGGGGGACTTATGTAGGAGCATTAGATACAGGTGTGTGTGTTTTAATTGTGTGGGATGTATGTGGAAGCATCCACGGACATTCTCCATGATTTTCTTGGCTTGCCTACTTCTATCCTCCTGTGAGTTCCATTCCAACACTTACTTCCACCCATAAACCACACACAACATAAGGAAATATTCTCAAGCAAGAATGATTTTGGAAGAAAATAATATTTCAGCCCCAGATCACACAATATTAGATTCGTCAATCAATTTTCACAAAAATTTACTAACAAAATATTTTTAAATTTGAAAAAAATAATCTTGTAAAAGTTAATTTAAAAAATAGGCCTCATAAAGCAAAGCAACAGCGTGCGGACACATATTCTTGATCACAACCTGTTGTCAAAGATTGTCAAAAGTCGTGGGCTTTCTAATGGGCTTTGTAGTGGGCTTTCTAATGGGCTTTGTAGTGGGCTTTCTAATGGGCTTTGTAGTGGGGTTTGTAGTGGGCTTTCTAATGAGCTTTGTGATGGGCTTTCTAATGAGCTTTGTGATGGGCTTTCTAATGAGCTTTGTAGTGGGCTTTCTAAAGGGCTTTGTGATGGGCTTTCTAATGAGCTTTGTAGTGGGCTTTCTAAAGGGCTTTGTAGTGGGCTTTCTAATGAGCTTTGTGATGGGCTTTTTAATGAGCTTTGTAGTGGGCTTTCTAAAGGGCTTTGTAGTGGGCTTTCTAAAGGGCTTTGTAGTGGGCTTTCTAATGAGCTTTGTGATGGGCTTTTTAATGAGCTTTGTAGTGGGCTTTCTAAAGGGCTTTGTAGTGGGCTTTCTAATTGGCTTTATGGCTCAAGGTGGGAGGGCTCTGTAGTAGAAAATACGGACTAAGCTGTTGACAGCTTACACCTTTATCTAATTCTACACCCTTCGCTAAGTTTAAGTAAAGAAACTACATTCAAGTACACAATAAACAAAGACGTTCTTCTATATTACATTCCTCGTGTTGTTTTTCTATATTGCCGGTTGCATATTTTTGTTTCAACAGATGCTGCAGCTATTAAAGCAACTTTAAACGAACTGCAAACCGGAAAAGTTGAGCTGGATACGGCTTATAAAAGTTACAATACTGCACTAGAAGCCCTGCAGGGGAGGATAACCGCCCAAGCCCCGCAGTCAGGCATAGATTTAAAAATCAACTTTAATTTAGAAATGGTAATTCTGATTTTTCTATTCTGAAATAGATTATTTCATTAATAATTACAGCTATCTTAGTACCAAGACCCCCCCCCCCCCCCCCCAGTCAGGCATAGCTTTAAATTTAAATATCAACTTTAATTTAGAAATGGGGTAGATTCTGATTTTCTATTCTGAAGTAGATTTTTATTTGTTAATAAAGTGCTATCTTAGTACTAATTCCCCAAGTCAGGCATAGATTTAAATATCAACTTTAATTTAGAAATGGTAATTCTGATTTTCTATTCTGAAATTGATTTTTATTTCATTAACAATAAGTGCTATCTTAGTACTAATTCCCCAAGTCAGGCATAGATTTAAATATCAACTTTAATTTAGAAATGGTAATTCTGATTTTTCTATTCTGAAATTGATTTGTATTTCATTAATAATTACAGCTATCTTAGTACCCAAGCCCCACAGTCAGGCATAGATTTAAATATTAACTTTAATTAGAAATGGTAATTCTAGTTTTCTATTCT